AACCTGCGCTGAGCATTTGTGACACCCCGCGTCTAGAGTCCCTTATCGGATCTCATCAGTGGTTTTCAGCTCTGTCAGCCACCACCCTACCGTGCAATACACCTCATGAAATCACGATCTCGCAGCTGCTGCAACCTACACGAATTCGGTCACCCTTCCATTCTAAGGCCCCTTATCGAATCTATTCAGGTGTCATCCAATAGGTGAACGAGTTTTCTATGGCAGTGCCAACAGTCGCCAGATGCATAAAGCCACATGTATGCTCTAGTTCGGTGTGAGTGAAGGGGCTTGCGTGTGAGTGTGCCATGGCGCCAAACCCGTTCTTCTTCTACTTGTTGGAGCAAATATGCGACAACGAGTGGTAGAAAACGAGTGATACGAACGATATGATGCGGCCTTGCAGCTTGATCGCTCCAACAACTGGTGCAAAACCGCGCCAAGCTCGCCCCATTTGACCCGCCCCTTAATCCACAGCGAACTAGCCTATATGCTTTCATCTACCCATGCATGCTCCGCAGCTGTGTCATATCAATTGTTTTCGCACATGAGGCGGTAAACCATTAGCATCGATGTGGCCTGGGGTGGTGGATTGGGCGTTGTGGTGGCGTCTGCTCGGAATGTTGCAGCTCGGTTGAGCGCTATATTGGCGTCCTTGGTTGAAAGATGCCACACAGCGCCTGCGCCGGGGCACCGGATTCTTTTCGGCTACGTGAATTCACCCAACCTATCTGTCGACTTATCGTGCCACTTCCCGTCAGGCTATGGCATTAGTGGTGTAACAGCAGCACGTGCTCGGAAAACGCTAGATACGGGTTCGAATCCCTGCTGAGGCGATGCTTTCTGAGTGAGCTAGAGTTGAACTATGCGAAGTGCAGCAGGAACCAACAGCTATGACGTGATACGATTTATTAATAGAACATATAGCGATAAGATACAGTAACAAACTAGAGAAGATGAGACGACAGCAAACACACATAGGGAACAATAACATACCAAATAAGAGCATTCTATATGTTGAAATTGGTGAGATATGGTGAAGGGAAGAACCCACACCTTTCCTCTATTTACGGGTAGCCATTCTGAAAATGTTGGAAAAGAAACGGCTCAGCGAGTTCCACCTCCAGTACAGGCATTCAATATATGCAAGCAGTAAGCACACGTGGAAGGTTCGTCGAGGTACCAAACTGCAATAAGCAGTAGCTTATTCATAAATACAAAGGCATTCCTACACTAGATATCAAAACTAATGGTCTTTTCCGCATTCCTGTATTTTGTGCTTCGAGAGCAGCATATCTGCCTTCTCTCTAATTGATAGTCCGCGCGCCTCGCAGGTTAGCTGTTTTTGTTGGATGCTGCAGCCTTTCCCCATTCGAGGGAACGGGCGCAGTTCGGCGTCGAAGGGGCACTTTGCACTTTTGCTACTATCGCAACGTGTCGACCCATCTAGAACGCTATCTCATGAGCTTACAAGAATCGACAGGTTTCACCATGTGGCTTGCTCTGATTTCACAGGAGCGCACAGGTTTCATCAGAGTGAGATATGCAAACGTAACAAATGGAGCAGCGAAAGTGCAAAATGCCGAAGTGCCCCAACCCCGCCTCCTCCCCCCCCCATCGCTTGAGTTTCAGTAAGGTATCGCATGATGACAAACCTTCATCATTCTTGAGGCTCCTCGTTTCACCTGCGTCCCATGACCCAGTGACCACTTTATCTGGTTGTTTTCAGGACCTTCCCTCACAAGCCCATACCATCGCAGACGCTGCTCTTGTCGCGTGCCTTTATCTAGATAGAGTCTGCTATAAAGGATCTTCAGTCGCACAGGTATACTCCGTACACGGCAGATGAAGAAGGCGTGGCTACGAAAGGGCAACATGCTACTAGAAGGCAACGTCCTTCGTCAAATGAAGTACGCATCCTTGTACACCTCACCTAACGGCACTACATCTTTCACACCTGAACATGGGGTGTGTGAGATGCGTTTTTCGCGTGATATTTCCGTTAACGGCAACTGTCATCTTACGTTGTGGGCAAAGAAATACTGGTAATAGTTCCAAAAACGCAACATCCTTTGTTCAGATCAAGTACGCATTCTTGCCCTTCCTATCTAGCAGCACTATGAAAAAGAATGAGGCTGCACAGTATTTGAGTCAGCTTCGCATCATTCAATCGCCCCCTAAGTTCTCACCTGAAGTATGCCAACTTCAAAGCTCCATGTTTTCTCTCGGAATTGCATTCCCAGACTTGCTAGGGCGCTCCATAAGTAGACAACATTCACTCTAACGCCAACAGGCTTATGTCACGACTTACCCAAACCAAGGTCGTCCCATCTAAAACGTGGAGTAAGTAGAGAAATGACAGAAAGCAAAGTGGCTATTGATGTGGGCTTCTTTAGCTGGAACCTTCAGCTACGTATACATTAAATTCGGCCAGCCTGGCCACAGAAGAAATTCTAAAGAAATTGAAACCCGAATTCAAAAGAAACCCTCAGCACCGGGTTAAGTCGGGCTTCACAACTGCGCCTCTCAAATTTTTCCTGTTGGGCCATTTGTTGCACATAATAGCGTTCCCAAGTGTGGAAGATGTGGCCAAATGACCAAAGGACGAACGAAAAAAGTTGTGGCCGAGAAGGACCCCATGATGTTCATCCTGCTCAGGAAAAGTGGGTGGATAAAGTCGAGCGCTGATTGTCTGATCATGAAGACCGGACCGTGTTCGAGCATCTCAATACTGATAATCCGACCACTTCCCGTGTTGTGTCCGAAAAATCAAAGATGTTCGGAAGAGTGCAGGTTTCGCTACCTCACTTTCTTGTAGAAGCACGAATGCAGAACTGATTAGATGCCCGAGCAGCGATATTCATCGCCTAAGACGTCATTCACAGCTGTGAAAACGCAACGTGGTCCCTGGCGAAAGATGACAACAACTTGGAACTGACACTCACAAGCGTCCGATTTGTGTGAATGCAGATGAGACAGCCCGGGTTCTGTTACCAGGAGTTACGTTGGCCTAGACGGATAATGACCATGACAATGGACTTTGGCCCTGCGGCTTTCAAAAGGCTCTAGTATACAGAAAACAAAATCGTCGCTGTCGGTGTCCATTGCCTGCTTCCAATCAGATCGACAAATGGGTGGTAACACACAACTACAGGAGGGCCACCAATGTTTGTCACCTCGTAACAGCACTACTGGCAATCGCGCTATTCGCTCAACTACAGCCGTGCGATTTCAGCTGCCCCAGCTAGAAGGTACGGTCTAACGGCAAAAGCCACGACAATTTGTCGATCCTGAAAGTGGGCTAATGCCGTTTGGACTCCAGAAATTTCTGTTCCGAGCTCATTTTCAAATTGCCTAAGCCACCAAATCCACTAAAAACTTGTATATAGAGGTAATTCAACATCCTGGTCACGAGTATGACACACATTCTTGGCGCTGGCGTTAAGAGAGGACACTACGATTACCTCCTGGGCTCAGCCTTTGCGGAGCGCAGGTAACCGTAGTGCCATCCATTAGCACCAGCGCCAAAAATGAATGCCATTTTCGTGATCAAGACGTTGAATTACCCTTACATACAAGTTTTTAGCGGATTTGGTGATCTTGCCTCTTTAAAATGAGCTCGGAGCCGAAATTTCTGGAGTCCAAACGGCATTAGCACTGAAAGTGGCATCAACAAAAATGCACCGCAGTTGTTGGAAAAACGAAGATGCCAGTAGTTCAAAAGCACCTGTGCACTGGGAGTGGTCACTGATGGAAGATGGATCTACCTGCGATAATTCGCCATCACAGACAGTGGATTAGACTTACGTATAGATGACAAGGTGCTGAGCAACTCGATAGGAAGAAAAAAAGCAGAAAACAAAACGGCAACTGCCGCAGACAGAACCCCATTTCGATCCCAGTCTGCATTCAACTCACTCCATCACCAACACTAAGCCCTCATCCGCACAGGTGAATCATTGATAAGAACTCTATGGCCTTGTAAGTGACGATTTTCATGGTTTTTCTTCGTGCAGCTTCGTTTTTCACTGAAAAGTGGCCCGTGAAGGTGTGGACTGGAGGTGGAGTCAATGGAAAGTAGTAGGCATCACTGAGCTTATATTGCCCCATAGCACCCCTCCCTTACAGTTTTTTGCCGCAAAACCGGTACAAAGTTGTTCGTCACGGACCACAGTACCGCCCCGACGCCATATTTTCATCCTCTATACCTGATCGCGGACCGTGCCTTTGAATCCAAGACATTAATTTCTTGCTTGTTTTCCTCTTCATGTTATTTGAATGAGACCTGTCACGCTTCTGAATGTAATGACTCAAGAAATTCATTTTGAACCTGTATTGAATGTGTCAGTTTCATTTTTCGCACCATCTAAATGGTGAAAAACTGTTCTAACTATCATCACGTGAAACGAGTGAGTGCTCCAAGGCAATGGCACGAATAGTAATTGTGCTGAAAGGGTAAAAGTGGCCCCAGTAGCGTAATAGGGAACGCAATCGCAGAACGGAAGATACGGGTTCGAATCCGACCCGTGATCTTGCCTTGCCCACCACTCAGCACTCTTTTGATGAAATCTTGCTCAGGCAGTTAGGGACAATATGCTCTCGCTCAGATTTTGTAACAGAAATGGGCGTTTTTCAGGTTTTCTCCCACCATGTGGAAGAAGTTCAGGAAGAATTCCAGATTAAGCAAAAAGTAGTCGAAGCTAACGAAGTCTCAACACGTTCCGCATTAGGTCCCGCCATTTTGGCATTACAATCCCGTCCGTGGTCCGACTTTTGCCCATAGCTCAGCACTCTTGTGATGAATTTCGGATCGCGCACTGCATCGTTTAACAACTTTTATGAAACTATTCACCTTTTGGCATTGTTTTGGTGCAGGAGCCTCTTAGAACTGAACCGTACCATCCAAAAATGGAAAAAAACGGCATCGGCGCCAATGTCAACGAGAGAACAGATAAGTAAACGTGGCGATAATACAAGCAAGTTCAAAAGTTACTTTGTCATACTCACCCTTTGGCAGCGTACAGCAAGTATGCCTTTTTAGGAAGCAACAATATCCGCTTATTGGTGAGAATAGCATCGACGGTTTCCTCAGCGACCACCTCAGGTGAGAGATATTCCGTTGACGGAGGAAGCCTTGAAATCAGTTCCCACATCATTTGTCTGCTACTTTGTCAGCCAACTCACGTAAATGTAGTAGTCATCCTGGACCGGATGAACGACGGGCAGATCGTGGTGAATTGGATGTTGCGCCTTCTTTTTTTATAGGTTTCATTCTCGAGAGCTTCCTGAAGCGTAATTTCTCGCCATCTAATTCATGAAGCGAGCATAATTCGAAACGTACATCCGGTGAAAAAGCAGCGGAATCAGACAGGTCGGAGAGATCTCATTGCTCAGAGTGAATATGTGACTAGCGCTAATGCCCGTACTGTTGCTCAACGTCACACTCAGGAACTGTCTACGCTGGCTAGAGTCCACTGCTGATTGACGAAGTCTACGCGGACATCCGGGGGGTGCAGGTAGGGGCTCCACGTGGGACCACCGCTGCCATTTCTCCCCGCTTGTTCTTATATTCCGGGTGATATCGTGTTTGTGTCGACAAAGACACTGTTTCGTATTAACAGTTCAACATCTATCCCACTAACCTTGTAGTTCTCGCACCATCAAAGGCAGTTGAAACGATAATTCGGTACTCCACCCAAAATGCAGCAGGGATGCTAAAAAGTGGGAAATGGCGAAGTGAAACGATCAAAAACCTGCAGAAAAGCCTTTGTTCTGAATTAGAGGCATTCGGACGAGTACCCCGTTGGCATCGTGCCACTCACCGCTACGGTAGATACGGCTGCACCTATGCATTCATATATCCATGCCGCTTCATATTCATCCCCTCGCCTCATACTGTACTTTGTGAATGACGCGATAGGGGCATCGTTATCGGTCAGACAGTGGACAGGCGGATGCGGTGGGCGTTAGGGTCCGTGTGTTGTAACTCGGTAGGGCGCTAGGGGTTCCTTCATTGAGGAAGGCGCCACGCAGCGCTTGGTCAGGGGCGCCGGATTTACCTGCTAGGTGTATTGGTTCTACACGTACTGGAGGTTTATCGTGCCAACTCCTTCAAATGATAAAGTGGACGATTGGAAATGCAGTGGATGTTATGCCGCCCCATAGCGGCGCACTGCCTCTCCCTTGCCGCGATGAGACGAGTTGACCTTGTTGAAGCCCTAACCGTTTCCCTCCGGGACATCCATCACCATCAGGAACTCTTGTTAATAACTGAAAAAATTTCGCCCATTTGATTGGAATGAGCTAAGTGTGTCTATCACCTGTATCACCTGTGCTCCCGCTGATCATCGAGTTCCTCGAGCGGGCGTCAGTAACGTCTCCATTCGTCCCTGCAACGTGCAAGAGTTGCCCAATGAACTCCCTCAGCTCGAGGGACACGATGAACTTCATATCATTCGTTCAGAGCTTTCACGAAGAAATCTGACCATCGCGTAGGCGGTCTTCCAGGCGTTCGCTTGACATCCCGTGGAATCCAGTCGGTGACTGCTCTGGTCCAGCGGTCGTCCTCGAAACGCATAACGTGTCCGGCCACCTGATCTCGAGCCTTGGCAATGCGGCGGCGTCTCTGATCTTCGATCGTTGGGCGGAGTGCGGAGCTCCGGATTCCTCTCCTCACTTGCGTGTAGCGGAAACTCCGAGCATCGCCCTTTCGATGGCGGCGTTGAATAACACCGACAGCATAGCTGCTCATCCTGCTTTCGTAGAGTCCAAGTCTCTGAGGCGGTACGTCAAGGCAGGAAGAACCGCGGAATCGAAGAGGCAGGCACGGAGCTTGGTGTTCTTCGTCTTCTTCGCCAACTCCCTGATGTTCTTGAAGGCTCCCCAAGCCGCTCGCTTCCTCCTGCTCAGCTCTGGAGCTAGGTCATTCATCATATTGATTTCACGACCTAGGTACACATAGCTGGAGCACTCAGAGATGGTCGTTCCGTTGAGCGTGGTTGGGGCATCAGATACCAATCCGTTTCTCATGAACATCGTCTTCGTTAAGTTCAGCCGTAGACCGAGTCTTCTTCCACACGCGCAGTCGAATTCAGCCAGCATTCGTTCCGCTTGCTCGATGTTTGGCGTTATCAAAACGATGTCGTCAGCAAAGCGGAGATGGTGTTGTTGCCGACCGTCGATCTTCACTCCCATGTCTTCCATTCCAGTTGACGCATGACGTTCTCGAGAGAGGCGCTGAAGAGCTTGGGCGAGATGGGTGTCGCCCTGTCGGACCCCTCTCTTCACATCAATGATGTTCTCCTTGTAGAATGGTGAAATCTTGGTCGTGAAGTTGCTGTAGAGCTCACGAAGAATCCTGATGTACTGAGTAGGAATACCCTGGTTGCCCAGGGCTTCAATAACCGCTTCTGTCTCAACGGAGTCAAAGGCTTTCTTCGAGTGGATAAACGTGAGACATAACGGCATCTTGTACTCTCGCAATACTTCAATGAGCTTCGTTACCGTGGTGATGTGATCGATCGTGCTGATTCCTTTTCGGAACCCTGCTTGCTCGCATGGCTGTCCTTCGTCTAGATTTCTGTCAATCCTGATAAGGACGACTCGTGTGAAGAGTTTGTAGACTACAGACAGCAGGCAGATTGGGCGATAATTGCCAATGTCGTACAGGTCTCCCTTCTTGTACAGCAACACAGTCTTGCTGGTTTTCCACGAGGTAGGTACCTTGCATTCGCGACAGGTAGCGCGTGAAGAGTCCCCCACAAACCTATCCGCAGCCTCATCGTGGCGTGAGGGTGAATGGTTTTGGACTGTTCCAAAAACGTACCAATGCGGAGGGTGCCACGTCAGAGCCTGGCGAGCTAGCGTGGTCAAAGTTCTTCTCGCCGAAAACAGTAACAATCATGGGCCTCATTCCCCTGAACCTGAGGGAACCACCGACAGGGCGACGTCAGCTGGGAACGCGTCGGGCGAGGCTGCTAAAATCACAGGGCCAATGGGATTCAAATCGCCCAGGACTAGGATGACGATCTGTACTTTGTATAGTCCATGTTCGACTTTCTTTGCAATCTTGGCATGATGATTATTCGATGTAGTTGTCTTTCGAGCCTCGACAAGATTGAAATGCTTTATAGGCCAACGTTTCGGCGTCTTTCGCCTTCGTCAGAGCCTGAAATGGACAAAAAAACATGAGACCTGCCCGCTGAAACGTCTCAACAATCTCAAGACAATTTCACTAAACAGTGAAACGACCCAACGGTATCGATCGATAGTGTTGTGGCTCACCTTGATCTAGACGCTGCAGTGCGGGCCGACCACCCTGAGGTTGACTTGAATGCGGATTAACCATTACCAGTTACACCCTCCGACCTCACGGTAGATCAAAACTTACAGAGGTCGAGGAAAGGCGCGAGTTTCGCGGGTCACAGCCACACACTCCTCTTTTCTATTCATTTTAGGGTCCTTGGCAGTGATCCAAAATGCCTCCAATGTCTTACGCGCGCGTGATCTCGGGCTCCTCCGCGCTAAGATGACCACGACACGTCAAATGACGTGCCTCCATGGTGTTCAACTCGATGAGCTCCGAGTGGAGTCTGGACCCTAGATCTACTGAGCCCCTCCAGATGTTCTTCATCCCGCACACGAAGGGGGCGCCCTGTTTCACCTATGTACTCACTGCCACAATTCTGGCAGTGTAATCGAGTAGATGACTGCCGACTTCATGCAGTCGCCCGTCTGCCAAAGGGACATACAACACAATCCGGGGTGTCGCATAAGGTGTCATATAGCGGTTGCGAATAAGGTGACGTTTCAAGTTACAGGGGGGTGTTTCCACAATACTAATATCGTCCTGGAGATCACATCGTTTCAGTTGTGATCGAATCGTCCTGCTCACCGTTCAGAAATATAGGGCAGGCAAAAAAGGACTTTATTGGCCGGTGTTGTTCTAGAAGTGCCGCGATACGTGGAATACCCCCGTCGAGTCCTCTCAGAGGAAGGATATCCATTGGATAACGCGATAGTGTGGGCTCTGTTCGACGACTCTTTTCTTAACTCGCTATCTGATGAGACCTTATGGCTATCCTGAACATGTTTTGGACGACAGCCTTCTTAGTTTTCATCGGATGAGCCGAGGTGTAATGTATCAAAATGTTTTTGTTGCTTGGCTTCCGTACCATTTGGTCCTGACACTTTCTCGTAGCAACTGAATTTGAACATCGAGAAACGGTAACCAATTCTCCAGGCTTTTCCCGAGCAACTTGATGTTTTCAGACTGCTCATTCAAAAGACTGAAACAGACATCCATTTCGTCTTGTGTTGAACATATGATGAGGCAGTCATCAGTGTATCGATGGAAAAGAATCGGTCTACGGTCCAATATCTCGACTTTGGACATGAACGCTATGGCTAACACAGGGGCTAACGCGCTGTCCCATAGCGAGGCCTCTCAGTTTGTTTATAGCACTCGCCTGCCCACCTGAAAATAGAACGCTTTAGGCATTCCAGCAGAACCGTCATTACTTGTGAAACAGTGAATCCGTAGAAATTGAGAGAGGATCCATGTTCAACAATAACAGTTCATATGTGGCCTCCAGCGCAGAGTCCATCACGACAAATTGGTGTACAGGGACGTGACATCAAATGATTCTATGACGCAACCTTCATGAAGGTTGGCGCTGTACAACTTGTCTAGCAGCATGCCTGTATTAGTCAGGTGGGCAGGGACGTGCTGAAGAAGCTGTCCTAAAATTAAGTTGAGAAACCAAGAGATTTTATCAGTGGGCCCCCGAATGTTGCTTATAATGGGTCTTACTTTGAAAGTGCCAGGGTCCTCAGAAGCCAGATCCGATGATGTGAGTTTGTGAGTTTTTATAAGTAAATAGAGAACAGGACAGGTGGGTAGGTCATACTTGAGGCGATTGATTGTGGTACTAGACATTCCCGCAGCCTTCGCTACACTACACCAGATCTAGTTTAGCTTACGATATTGTTTAGTGTATTCCTTTTCCGATGATTTTCCATATAAGGTCTCATCTTGCAGGTGCGATCTGTACTTTCAACGCACGGACGCTTGCATCGGAAGCCCACATCGAGGATCTGATGTTGCAAGCCAGGAAGATCAAGTACGACGTCATTGGACTGACCGAGACGAGGAAGCATCGCCCGCTACACGCCGTACACGAGACTGGAGAAGAACTGTTCCTCGGAACATGCGACAGCAGAGGCATTGGCGGTGTGGGCGTCCTCGTCAACACGCACTTGGATGAACATCGATTCGTACGAAGGTCTGACGACCCGAATCGGACGTTTGCGATTGAGAAGATGTGGTTCAACTCCAGCTTTGACAATCTTCGTTGCCTACGCACCAACATCAAGCTACGACGAGGATGAGCTCGAAGCGTTCTATATGGAATTGGAGAAGTTCTACAAGGAAGATCATACCTTCTTCAAGGTCATCGTCGGTGATTTCAACGCTAAGAAGACGGCTGAAGAAGTGTGTCTATAAAAAGAGCAATACGTATGGTCTTATTCGCCACAGTGGCGACTCTATAATCGACCAAGTAATTTTGTGCGCGGGCTCACGAAGACAGTGTCGCCCAGAGCGATAAAGCTTCTGAGAAGATTTCTAATGGCACAGACCAAATATGCCGAGCGCGGGGACCCCGAGCATGAGATTGTAGGCCTAACAGTCAAAACGGAGTAAAAGGAACTATCAAAGAAGCGCTAGATGTGGGCCTGTATGATTTCCGCGTTATATGGGGAAGCGACGTGACGAAAAGTGCGCGGACACACAGGTAACGTCCCTAGCGAGATCACAGCGAGCGTGCTGATGGCGACATTTGAAGACTACCTGATTTCATAGCCGAGTGGCAAGATTCCAAGACCAGTAGGATCGATATATCTAGCAGAACAGAAGTCGTAGCCCGTGAGCAGACGCTGCCCGGCGTCCTTTCCAAGTGCTCTTATGGCGCCCTATCAAGCTGCAGCGTGCCGACCCGTGCGCTCGGCGCGCCGCCACAAATGTCCGACCGATGCTGATGCTCGTATTGCTTCTTTTGCAAAGCTCAGTATGAAGCGAACGGACTGATATGAAGCGCCCGCGATGCAGCACGGATATTTGGTTTATTTATGCAGCCGCATCTACCGTCGCAGTAACTGGCAGGGCGCCAGCAGGAAACTCGTCCGAAATTGTTTTCTGAGTCTTGTAGAACAACGGCTTTATTCGAAGGTTTTCGGCCATTTCACTTCGCTTTTTCGCTATTTTCCTCTCTATATGGCACCCATGCTACCATTCTAGGTCGAATACCAAATTATCGTGCCTAATGAATTTGGGCAAAGGCATGGCTACGTGAATTCTTCCTAACGTGGCGAAGGCTGCGCTTTGTGGGTTAGTTCGATTTGGAGGCAATTGTAGGCGTGTCTTTGCCCCACGCAAAACTAGATGACACCTATCCCAGACTGAAATATTACAGACTAACCTCTCCTGTACCACGTTCAAATAAAGTACAGAGCGACATCTAGTGATGTTACGCAGCCGTTGTTACCGCTGTGGAGTGTACCTGACTGGAGCGGGTTTTGGCCATCACAAATTGCCTTTACTGCGATTAGCGAAAGTAGTGCAGCCATCAGGGCTGTTAGCATGGTTACTTCATTCGCGAAGGATTCTGTCATTCAGGTCATTGCGGGATGTGTTTCCGAAAGACTTAACGTCGCCATCATGGTCACCGAACGTCCCAAGATTTGTGAAGTCGCGTCGCACCTATCTATGCAATATTCAGTACTTTCGCTGGCGCCAACACTTAAAGTTTTCAGTCATGAGAATTCTGACATAGCGCTCACCTGGAATCCGAAGGCACCGAATTTTGACGCTGAGTAGTCCGCGAGTTCTGAAAGCTCTTCAATTTCTTTTCAGCGCGTATAGAACAAGGTTCAGAGACGTGAACAAGGCTTCAATAAAGTGAGATTAAACAAATTTGGTTTAGATCCACCCTATTAGACTGATTGCAGGAACTCACCTCTAGTTCCTACAACTCCCGCCAATGAGCAAATGCAGACAATGTGACCAGCGTTTCGTTCGACCATGCGAGGCAGAAACGCTTTTGCCATCTAAATTTGACGTAACTTCATCTATATATTTGCGTGCGTCATCGAAGCTACTTACCCACATATGAGCTATCATGTTGATATGAACCGTCTTCTCTATCAGGTCATCAGTTTTGTTCAGAAAATCCCCATATTCATGGGCTACACCTGCATTATTGACGACAATATCGACTTCTCCTATTTCACTGAAGACTCGGTCCGCTGCTGCGTAAATTTCCTGTCGTTGCGACATGTCCACTCGAAAGACGTACACCTTAACCTGCTTCGTACACGTATTTGATCTTAACTGTATTCATATCCTATATACAGGGGAGGGGGGGGGCAAAAAAGAACTTTTTCCTCGGCTTTCAATACGCTATAACTTACACTTTGGATTCCGATTGGACATCATCAAATTCAACGGCACATTGAAGCCTAGCATGATACTCCGCCGCAGCCTTCTGGACGAGCGCCATCGAGAGATTCTGCCACGCGACCGTGATTCAATGCCTGAGTTCAGGGAGGTTCTTGATTTGTGCGCTCTGTAGACCACTGAACTTCGCCCGGACCCAGTAATTGAGGGGGTTGATGTCAGGCGACACACTTAGATCTTCTTCACTTACTCAACGCCCTTCGATTCTCAATATGCGAGAGTTTTTCTATTCCCCTTCGATTCCATGTGGTGACACCCAATTCTGTAGCAGTACGAAGTTTCCAATACGGTACAGGCGACAATGTGAAGGCAGGCAAGCAACTCCTCGAGTTGGTCGATGTAACCGTCAGCCGTTCACTTTCGTCCGGGATCCTGGAAGAAAATGTCAAGATGATATCGTGGACCATAGCGACCTTGTCGAAGCTGATTGACGTTGGGGTTTTCAGATCAATAGGCCGGTCTGAGCGATATCTGTCCATGGGTGGCTCAATACAAGAAGTTTCGCAGCTGTTTGGGGGTGACGTGCCACAGGCCTTCTCCAGTCATGCGATTGGAGATGGCTTCATATTTTGGGGTATATGAAGGTGATGGGCAACCTGCTCCTGTTTATCGAAGAATATCATGTTTGTCTCCCGCCCTCCTGCTCGTATCCACGTCTGCTGTCTGGGCTGCGGAAACTTTATTGATATGCAGCTCAGCCAAAGTTCCCTTTTTTTGCCCCCTGTAAGTCTACTCCGAACGTGCCTCACTAAATCAACCTGACGTGGCAGCAAGGGAGGCCACTCGACGCGGTAAACAGACAACGAAACATGGACTGATACTCATAGAATCACTGAGGTAAGCCTACTATGCCGTGCATTCGGCGAAAGCTACGCAGAACAAAGCACGGCATTAATCCACTACAACTTTTTCAGAAAGTTTTCGGTGGTGGAACTGTGTCCACGAAGTTACTCAGAGCCCTGGTTACGAATAGGATATAAATTTGTTTGGCATTCTGGTCGCGAATATCACGCTCGCTGAGGCAGCGTTCAGACTTCGGGCAGCGCCTCGATGCGATCGATGCAGTTGAAAGCATGCGCATTGATCGCGTCGAACGCGCGACCGAGGCGCTGCCTTGCAAGGTCTGAACGCTACCTACTGCTGTTACCACTTGGAGCCAAAAGGCGTCCGGGGTCATCACCCTTCTCACCAAAACTCTTTCCCACGTTGAAAACTTGTAAGCGGGGGGGGGAGCATTCGAGATCCCGACCACGGATATGACATTCATCCTTGAGGATGGCGCCAATGTATGGCACTTCTTTCATGTGCGCTCTGCCAAGGCTGACCTTGGCAGAGGGAATCATTCCTCTTTTCAGGCTCAGCCTCAGCAGAGCAGATCACGCCATATGTGTCACATTTGGTGGCGAAATGACTCCAGCGACAAAAGTATTCGTTATTACGCTGTCGAATAACCCTCGTATACATATCTTTATGGATTTCGTTGATAGAGATGATAAGGGAAGTCAAGTCCTCAGCCCGTTTACCATGTACCTAAAGAAATTCCCAGCTGAATAGTTCGTTAAACAAGGAAAATACTTTCAAGCCGCATCTTCATTGTGTCGAGTACGAAGCAAGAGATTAGATAGACAGCAAATGGATGAAAAAGGAAGAAGATTTTTGTTTTTTCACGCACCTCAGCACCTAGATCCTCGCACAGTCGTTTTGTTTCCGCATTGGCTTTCTCATCAATATCCCACAATACCAATTTGCAGCCAGTTGAAACAAAATTCAGCGCTATTAGTCGTCCAAGACCATTCCCGGAACCAGTAATCAGCACCACCTAACAATCTCACTCAATGAGAAACGTAACTAGAAGGTAAAACCAACTGTGCACTCTCACCTGACCATCAATGTGTTTCCGTTCTGAAAAGCTCCAAGAGCTACAATTGCTAACGAGGGCGCTGATCATTTCACTTAGTGTGAGCAGTAGCACTTTTAGGAGGTATTTTAGTTGAAGAAGAAATTTCACTGGAAATTTAAACCTTAGGACATTGAAAAAATACGTCTAATTGACTTTTTTTTGTTTCCTGGACTTCTTTTGTTTGCTACGGCCCGCCTCTATGAACCATTAACATAATATTGAGATATACCCTGCTCCGCATGCGTTGCTTGCCCTAGAGATTTTCCGAAAGTTCGAACTTAAAGGCTTTTCAAAGCTTTTCAAAGAGGTCTTATGTGGAAACGCATTTACACTTTCCGGACCGCGACCGCGTTATACTTATCTCCAACCATACAAACTACATGAAGCTGGTATCATCGCGATCGTACGGGTCGTGTAGGGAGGCGTGGAATGAGCTGCGTTTTCTACCAGTAACGGACGAATTGCAAAAAGCGACGTTGCACTGACATTAGAGGAGAGACTAGAAAAGGGTTGGTGAGGAATCGAGAGAAGAGAGAGAGAGAGAGAAGAGAGAGAGAGAGAGAGAGAGAGAGAGAGCAGAGATGCATTATCACGACGACACGCGGCAGCTTAGGCTGGCGTTGGCCTGTTGGGCAACCATGAACCCAAAACTAACCTTCCTATTCTTTGCTTGCCAGTTTTCGACTTTTGATTGTAGCATAACCTCAAAGGTTGTGCCTACCAGATTACCATGCAAGTTCAAGAGGTTTCCGCGCCCACTTTATCGCGAACCATGCCTTTGAAGGTGCGAAAAAGAACTCTAACCCATGGATGGTGAAGAATGTCGTGATACCGTACGCCGTTACCACGCTGATATCGGAACCTTTTGAGAACTTGTAAGGCTCTGGAAAGAAGAAAGAACTCTGGAGAGTATTGAAGGAACTACAAGGAAGAAGGTAAACCACGGACAAGCCTGACCTTTGACTCAATAGGCCGAGCGAGACTGACCCGCTACCGCTGACCATATACCCGCGTGCCGAGAAGCATGGCAGAACGTTGGCCGGGCAGAAGGATGCAAAACTTTAAGAGTTCAGGGGATAAGGCTCCAGTCGAATCCGTTGCTGAGATGCGGCGCTCTACTACGACGTATGCATTGACTTGTGAAGATCAACAAAGGAACAAATTGGTGTTTTTATAACCTCTAATGAAGTGGTAACTCAATTAACATAATTATAATAATTAAGCCAATCAACTCTCTCTTTCCGGCCCTCCTGAGCTTCTCAATAAATAATTAAGTAACTCTGGAGGGTCGGAAAGATTCATTGGATTGCATGAAAGCCGATTCTAGATCCCCAAGCATGTACGTAGTAAGTGGCACTAGTTTTATATACCGCCCTACCAAACTACTAATATTGATATGTACGAGCCTCCAGGTTCAGTCCTACCCATGTATTAGGCTGGTGCAAAAGAAATGCCGGTCTGCTATCATTGTTTCAACCCTTTTCTTTGATAAACTCAAACTTCTCCACGATGTCTTATATACTGCCAAAGACTCATTCTCATGGTCAGCCCTTCCCAGTGGATTCCGCATGAATTGAGCGATAGTCTCGTTGGTCACCTTGTCGGCCTAAGTTTTGGGCCATGTCAGCGATCCGTTTTCCAAACGGATTGTGACTTGCGTGAACGAACGGGCACTTCACGATGAGGACGATCTGCCCAGTGGTTGGACGTAAAAGAAACTACAAGATCACTCAGAGCCGAAAACTCACCAGTGAAAGACCGTTTGAGCCTGCAGCGGGCATGATCCACTGTACATCTGTGGACCCGGATGAAATATCACAGCAGAAAAAACAATCAGAAGCCGACGAAGTGTACCAGTAACTGCGAACTATGTGCCCGGCATTGATAAATCGAAAGGGCAATGCTACTTCATGACAATCCTGGACCACGTCTTACTGACCTCACGGCAAAAGCTGCATAAGTTGAACTACGAGACTGTGATCATCCACCATACTCGCCAGATCTTTCGCCTACTGGCTTTCACATTTTGAGCATCTTGCCAACTTCCCGTGGAACAGACACACCAGAAACCAAGATGATGTACACCAGAAACCAGGATGATGTGAAAAGTGCCATTGATGAGTTCACTGCTCCAGAGTCCCACACTTTCAAGATATTGTATGAGCAATGTCGCTCCTCGCTATCAAAAGCGCGTCGATTGTAGTTACGATTACCTTAATCAACTACCAGCACACATAGTAATTACACTGCGAGCATAATCATAGTTTCACCCATGAATCTCACAAAATCCCGTCTTATACGAGCTTTTCAAAAATGCCCGCGTGCAGAAAATGTGGTAATTACCTATACCAATTCGCATGCCAACATCAAACACTAGCCTGAAAAAACAACTTTTTTTCGTCAATTTTTTCAAAAATGGTCGTTCTGTCAACGAAGGAAAAAATAGTTCCACCCCATATTTTCCGGCTGCATCTCATTTTTGTTCGGTGAAACTTCTCATCATTATGACTTCTTGCCTCTTCTAGGCTATGGCAAGCGAAACTTCATTAATGGACCTCGAAAAAGGACAGTTTATCGCAAAGAAGGCTCAAAAACTGGTGAATCGTCGAATGGCGCCGCCCTCATCATGCTATCAACGATTTTTTCAAGGGAGCTACAGGATATTGAGCTGAGAAGAGCTCTGGATGTCCTCCTTTGTTGCCCGATCGGAATAACCGCCGTATCCTTAGGAAAGCATCCAACTCTGCGGTGTCGTGTTGGGAAATCAAGACATCTTCGGAGGTTAATATCTCGAATACTGTTAGGCTCTCTCGAAAAACTCCCGAATTCACCCATAGAAGGAATATGAGTTATGTACTGTTTCCAAAAAAAACCATCACGAAAACCTAATTGGCTTTGCTCGAAGATGTTGCCGCACCCAATGAAGTGAGGTTGGCTTTTGGCTGCGGTGCACTAGTGCTTGTCTGTAGTGTTTTTTTCAGTTTTTTTTTCTCGCAGTCGTGCTTTCTGATGAGTGAAAATTCAACTGCGACGGCTCCGACGAAAACTGATCCCGCTGGCACGATATGAGGGAAGACAAGTTTCTTTTTTCCGGGCGGAACTTCAGGGGATGTGATCTCATGGTCTGGGCTGCCATCACATGAATGGAACGTCTGAAACTGCGCTCCGTATGAAAAAAAAGAAATGATTTCTTCCGTTATCTAAAAGTCATGCGACGACGTATCCTTGAATTGTGACGTGGAAATAAGCAAGAAAGTCCCGTTTTCACGCAGTAGAATGCACCAGTTCATGACAGTAGAAGCACTCGAGCGTGATTCATTGTCACCAAACCGCTCTTTTGCCCTAGCCAGCGAGTAGCCCCGACTAAACCCAAGCGAGGATGTGAGGGGCTTATGACATGAGAGCACAATTCCACAAGGTCCCTGAGCTTAGGGAGCTAGTCATTAGGGCAGTCGGCCGACAGCCTACTAGAATCTCTAATCGAACATGGGCAACCGTATTTTCTAACTTAATTGGAGAAATAGAGTTCCATAGATTACTGGATCAAAATTTACTCATTTTATTGTACACTTGTTGTTGGAATATTCGATTTGTTCGGTGGAACTATATTTTTGCTTCGTTGTCAGAACGACCATTTTTGAAAAAATTGACGAAAAAAAATTTGTTTTTTCAAGCTAGAGTTTGGTGTTGGCATGCGAATTGGTATTGGTAATTACCACATTTTCTGTATGGGGGCATTTTTGAAAACGTCGTGTAAGACGGGGTTTTGTGAGATTCATGGGTGGAACTATGATTATGCTTCGCAGTGTAGTTGGGGATTTTAGTCAAAACCGTCAGACACCCACCCCCTTTTTTTTGGGGGGGGGTGGTACAACCATCCCTGATCTACATGAAGCGGGAATCTACGAAAAGTCAGCACCTTTCTCACCAGAGGGCCCTCTCCCAACGAGCATACACCACCTTCCCCACACTAGAAAATCCCAGGAACGAAAATCAACTAGCAAAAAATTTTTCGCTAAAATATGACCCCTTACCCAGCGGGCAAATACGACCCCCCCTGATGATGAAACCCCAACGAGGATGTGTCCCCTCCCAAATAAGTGTTGTAAGAGCTAAGTTAAATTGATATAAATTTCAGGTAAAGAAGCCTACAATACTTCTGCACCTCATCCAATAGTTATAGTTGTGTTATTTCTTGCCTCACAACGTTTATTACGGCAGGTTTGACGACTGATTTGATAATTGGTTGTTACGTGGCTGACAAGATTACAAATAACAGCCATTTGAACTATTTTTAATCGTCCGCAAGGACGACTTGGTCGAAACGTTGGACGCCATAAATGGCTCCATCATAACAACCTTCAAGGCACAGAAGTAACCCTTATTCCTTAACTACCTTACCCTTAATTACCCTTAAGGCATAGAAATAACCCGTTTAATATTTTACCCTATATAGGTTGCGAATTCTGTGCATTAATGTGTGTCTGCCTGTTTACCACGAACTTCTGAGAGCAAATTGCAGCAACGGTGGAACGTTGGTTCCATGATCAAGGTTATGGGACGGGAACCTGGTGGGTGATAAGAAGTGTAAACAACTGACAACATCTGATAATGAAAATTAGAATTCAAAAGTCACCTGTTCATAGCGCGCATCACAGCAACCGTAGGAACTGGTTCAAATAGGTGGTATCGGGAATGTGATTGCTGTGGCTGGAATTCTACGCCGTGGTCCTGCCACGAAGGGTTAGCGCAGACAGCGAGCCAGTGTATCAAAAGTACTAAAACATATTGTTAATCCATTGACGGAAATTTCAGAGGGGCTCAAAGGGGTGAGTATGTGCAGATTCAAGCATTCCGGCCACTTGTTGTGGTTCTAGATCGACCATCTTTGCTCGTCTGTAACTTTTCATCAGTGGCAAAATGATAGTAACACAAGTAACATATGCTGCGAGGCATTCGCACCAGGGCCTAATTTAGTTAATACGATAGTGATACAGTATGCCTGCTCAGCTAGTCAGGAAATGCTCTCTTAATTTCTCCATGTCGTC